GATGTCATTTTTTCTTTCGCCGGAGGAACTCGGCAAGCTCAGCCGGTGTTTGTGAATATCACCGAACGTTTCCTGACTGATCTCATCCGCGCCGAGCCTGACGCTCCTTTGGACTGGTTTCGTTTTGTTGACGCTGAGCTCTGTTCGTCTTTATGTAGCATAATGTAGAGGACGGAAATATTGTGATTTGTCGTTAAAGTGCGCACACAGTATTTTCCAGAAGCAGGGTCGCTGTTGGTTATCATCTGCCTTCTCTACTCTTAGTTAATGTCGCACGATTGTCAGTGCGCAGGTGCGCTCATGGCAATGTTGCTTCATCTGTTTGTTCTTTTTCAATTTTTCACCTGTGGAGATCTGGCCTTTGTGGGGCAGTTACCTTCCGAAAATGAAGAATCACAAAACCAAGGTAAGATGTTTATTATACTTTATTTTAAGAATTTGATTCTTAAAAGTTTTACCCTGTATACATCCCGATATTGTAGCTTTCCTGGAAATAATCTCTTTGGATCCGCCCAGTGTTTGTAGATGAGGGGCACGCAAATTCTTTCCTGGGTCGCCACCTACTGTTTAACCGGTTTGACTTTGAAATGTTCGTACCTGGAAACTTGGAAAGGGAGTGTATTGAAGAAGTCTGTAATTACGAGGAAGCAAGGGAGGTGTTTGAAAACATCCCAGATACAGTTAAGTGATGCTGATTGGTGGAATCATTAATTAACAATTAAGAGGGATTGCCATATTGATTAATCTTTTTGTTTGTTGGTTTGTTTCTTCAGGAAAGATTTTGGAAGGAATACACTGCAGGTAAGAGGGGAATAAGAAATATACTTCAAGTTTATATAAAATGTGTCATCCAGGAAGTTTGTTGATGAAACTATGACTTGACTGTAGTTGTTGTTGTTGTTTGTGTAAAACCTGTTTCACCACACACCAATGAATGCATGGTAAATGTGAAAGTACAGATTATATACATTAAATCAGTCAAACTGAATTCCAATCCATCAGTTCTCTTTCCATCCAATTAGTAATTTGGACTTTTTTTGTATTCAGTTTACAGATGAGTGACAAATTAGTGCTAGGTCTCACATGCAAAAGATTCCCTGTTTGAGATCGGGAGGGGATACAGTACAAAAACACCCTCAGGAGGTCACACACGAGTATGATCTTTGTGTCAGTTTGAAGCTGGAATAGTTGGAACAATTATGTCAGGGAGGGAATCCAGTCTGAGATCTGCTCCAAATCTAACACACAGCTTCATCCACTGTAGCAACCCAGCCAAAATTACCTATATTAGGTGCTGGGCTAACAGTTGATTGTTGCTCAAAGAAGTTATGACATTTGAGTTATATATATTTGTGTATATATAACTCAAATGTTGTATATATTTTTTTCTACTCACCAAGTCATTCATTGATCCCATCATGTCGTCATAATGGTTGCAAGGAAAAGATCAATCCCGCTCATTAGAAATGCTTCATCACAAGATACCGGTGATCGCTCAAAAGCTTTGTATTGATGTACGTTAACTATGCCACCTACCCTTTATTATTCACCTATCAGATATATCAGATGTAAATGAAATGATGGTTGTCTACTTGGTAATAACTTGCACTGCCATTATGAAACAAGTTTGACATTTCCTCTGTGGTTTGTGATGATTCATAGACAAGGGTGGCCGCTCTTCACGTGTTGATGTGGTAGCTCTTTTGGTGGGACTCATTGCTGGTGGAGTGGCCATTGTCATCTTTGGCATCGTTGTATGGTTTTTGTGTCAGCGCAGATGGAAGGGTAACTTAAGCCATGAAAGGTGAGTGAGATGAATTTGTGACACTGTCCCAGTATGTCTTTTTCACCTGTTTATGAGCATTATTCTGCCAATTATTTTCTTCTTTAGTCATTGTTTCTAAAACATAAAACCATGCATAAATTATGTGTCTATTTCCCAAATCTGATGAAAGCAGAATAAATAGAAATAACTTGTAATATTTTTCATAACCCAAAAATAAATGAAATAACCCATTCAGTTTACCATGATTATGAAAGAGTCCAAAGTACTCTGAATGTGTATTTTTCTTTGCACTCATTGAGTTTTAAATAGTGCTGCTCTTCTGTTACCCCTTTTTGCTACACCAACTGTAACATCTACAAATGTATTTCATTGCGCATGGTTATATAACAAGAACAAAGATGACTTTCACCTTTGATACTTGCACTTTGAGCTTGAAGTACGTCACAAGTGAATGACCACTATGCTCCTCACAGTTCCATTAGGGTGCGCCAGAGGAGGAGTAATGCTTCTCTAATAATGCGAAGGCTAGAGGAGGTCTCCCTGCACCCTGTGCCTCCCTCCGATGACCCACCCGGGCTTCCTTCCTATGAACAGGCAATCGCGAGAAATGGGCCGCATGACGCCCCACCTCCTCCTTATCCTGGGTACGTGCATGTTTGTGCTTTTGTTGCAGTCCATGATGCAGTTTTATGCAGGGTTTTTTGTTGTTGTTGTTTTTTTTAAAGATATCTTTTCTCTTTCTTTTAGCTCACGAACTGGGAGTACTCGGCAGTAGGCTTTCAGTACAACACGTGTGCATATCTCTGAGAGGACAATTAACAGCTAACACCTAAAATGTGCAATTATGATGTATCAATTTGTCAAATATCACAAAATACTAACTTTCCTCGATTAGCCTCCCTTTTTCCTCTTTTATATTTATTTTTTTCTTGGTCTGTTTGGGTAGTCTTTTCTTTATTTTTTTTCTTAAATATTTTTTTTGTTCCACCTTCTTGATCTCCTAGTTCCAAACATTTGATTCTTCTTTGTAATATAACTGAAATCTTGTGATGAATAAGCTTTCTAAAATATTTTATCTACTTGCTGCTTTTTTATCAAGATGAAAATGAAGGAAGAGCTGCTTTGTACACAGCATGTATAGTGACACTGAGAGCAAGATCATGAAGATGTTTTATTATACAGTGTCAACTGTAATAACACAGAGATGGACTGATTTGTGTAGTCATGCAGCTTCATACAGCTGTTGCTCCAGAAGGAAAACCTGCAATACTGCTTGTACTTGTCTGATGGTAATGTTGACGTAACTGGAAAATGCTCTTACAAATACTACCTGTGTATTTAATGCACTGGTCTTCCAGCATACCTTTAATATTCACTGCATATTTCCATTGTTTTTGTAAACATAGGAAGATCTTTTTGCTGTTTTACAATATGTCAAAAAACATCTGCATGTTTGAACTAATGACTGTTCTCTCCAATGTGAATTTATTGTTTTATTTTTTTTTTCATCTACATTGTGATAATATTTTTTAATGCAATACAGATATGTGGAAGCACAGGCTTCACAAAATATTTCTATTTATCTAGAACCTTTAATTAATTTGAGTGAAATGACGTCAGCTACTTAACTGCAGTTTTGATAAGGATCTCACACTCATTGTGTCCCTGTAAATTATTGCAAGGGCTGAGGGGTTTCACAGAGCCACCTTTTCCTCTGAATGGATTTCAGAATCTTTTTTTCCAGGTCTCCCTTAAAAAAAATCTCAAGGGACTTCCTGGTTCAAAGATTAAATAATTTGTATAAACATATTTTGAGAATTTATTGATATAGCTATGTTAAAGCTGATCTGATGCAGAAGTATTTGAAATGATAGTCTTTTATATTCCTTTTTAATTAAAATTGCTATTTTAATTAACTTGGTCTTATCTTTTGGTGTGTGTGTCTATGTATGACTTTGTGACATGAAAACAGCAGTTGCAGGAGCCCATGGCTGTTATACCAAGTTGCCTTGCAGTAGATGTTAGGAGCTATTTTATGTGTTCCTGTTTCAGTGGATATATTTAGGGTGTAAATCAATATTAAGAACAATGATGGATACGTCAGTATCATTTTATTTTATTATCTATTGCTCAATATGGCTTTCTTTCCTTTATCAGCACACTGTTTATGCTGTTCCCTCCCAGGGGAATAGTCTCTCTGAATCTACACAGTTCTGACTTGGGACATACAGGATTAATTCCTGTCACTAACATAGAATCGGTGTTACTTAAAAAAAATAAAAAAATAAATATATATATATATATATATATATATATATATATTCAAAACTCCCCACCTTGGACGTTTGTTGTAGTATGGCTTCAAAACGCTAGTATTCAGAATAGCTCAGGATACTAGCATAAATCTTAGCTTGACCCACAGCTCCTGAGCAATGAGGCGATATCAGACGTATCTGTTATCGCTGGTGTTATATGTTGGTGTTGTGACTGCAACATCGTAATAATGTTCATCCAAGATCAACATAGCAACTGACCAGTTACGTGTTTTGATGTTATAGCTTTGGAAGGGGAAGGAAAGGGGGAAGGAAGGGGTGCCTTTCTTTATATAAAACTGTTTTCTGGAACAAATGGTAAGCATTTCAAGTACTTTGTTAATTTATGACAATGGCAATATAACAAATGAATTATCAAACTAGCTTGACAGTATTAAAAAGTTAAATAGATTTAAATTAAAACTAAACCGCCTACGAATGTATGACAAAACATTCAGCTGAAAATTACATTTCTGTTATATTTTTTTACATTATTTTTTATCGTATTTTATTTTATTTATAGTACCACCCATCTATTGACCAGACTATTTTGTATATATTTGTACTTGTGAAGAACAAAATCAGATAAGAATAAAGACCACATCATGTAAATGATTGGGAAGCAAGATTTAACACTGATGATGGTCATGGATATTTTGTGGTTAGGGTAAATGAGGAAATGAACATAAGTTCAGCTAGCATTCTCTTAAGTAAAGAAAGCATAGCATTTTGTACATGCTGCTGCTGTTAAACAGAAGGTCAAAGCTCAGGTAGCCAGATGCTTGAACACTTGTTTTAGTTCAGGGAGAACAGAGTTCACAACTCGCTGTGGCAGACCGGTGGGATCACCCTTCATTCAAAGGAAGCGCCGCTGCGCTGGTACCAGCTTTAGGGTTCGCCTGGTGGTCACGTGATTTTTTTGGGGTGGTGAAGCGAACCGTCGGTACAACATCTCGCTTCGATACATCTGCTCGTGAAGTCGATACCGTGGCTTGTCGGAGAAGTTTGCGTCTAGCGTGACACTGCAACTCATTTCTAATGTGAGAAGTTTCAGTTAGCCAGCTAGCTGCAGCCAAGCGTCAGTGCCTTAGAGAAGTCTCGTGGCAGACTAACTTTACCAGACGGGAGATGAACAAAAAAATAACGAAATCACCCGGTGATACTTTTTTCCACATGATAGCAGCTTGACGCTGTTTTTTTTTCTGTGGACTGTAAATTGCATTGACGGGACTTGCCTCGGTCGGTAGGTCCCGGGCTGCTACGATGTGTGTCCGCTGCTCCACGAAGCTCTGCTGGGGAAGTGAATCTTTCACCGGATGATGGACAGGAACTACCCGAGCTCCAGCTTTGCGGACGCGCTGGCTCCACCAGCACAGACCGTAGCTTCGTGGGCCTATGACCGCGGCTCAGCTACTATCAAGCCAAGGTAAAAGATGAAGGAGAGGGCGGGTCACCTTCCGAAGGAAATTTCGGTGATGGAGGGCCTAGCTTTGCTTTTGGAGAAAAGTGCACAGGTCCTAGCGGTTGTCGGGAACACTGGGAGAAATGGTTAAATGTCACAGACGCTGACTTGTCAGTGGTTTCTTAGCCGTGCGTTACTTTTTCCCCACCTTGCTAATTTTTGCTAGCATATCGTGCTTTCAGCATGAGCACACACAGAGTCAGTGAACACAAACTACTCAAGATAATTGCTTTATATCTCTATAATAAGGTGGTCATCTGGGTATCCTAAAGTAGCATTTAATCGTTGTGTTTTCTTCAACCACAGGTGTTCGTCAAAGGTAAAACAAGAGAGATAACTAGCAACCGAAGCTAGTTACTATATAACAGTTACAACACTTCAAATTAGTAATTTTCTTTGCTGTGGCGACATTCTACATTTTTGTAAATCTGTGCTTTTGTTCTAGTAATGAAAGCTTGAGGTCCTTCGTTATATATAGTCCGTGTAACCACAGAACTTGCAAAAGCTGTTGAGGTCTCAGTTCGTGACTTATGACTGTTGTGTTATAGTTTGGCCTAATTTGCTATAAAGAGGGGCCATCCTTCATGGCAACATTGTTTTGTCTGGTACAAATAAGCCACATTGTTCTCACAAGCGGAACAAAAGTAACAGTCTTTGTAGAACAGATAAACAAAGAGTATAAGTTAGCCTGTAAAAAGAAAAAAACTCTGTCATGTGCTGGATGGCAAAAAATGTAATAATTATGAAAATCAAGTGGCTATGATAAATAATGAAGTAAATTATTGTGGCTGATCTCTGTTTCAGAAAATCTAAGATTACACCAGTTTGTCTTATTTTATGACCTAAATAACATAAGATAGTGGCTGCTGATTAGCAGTGATGTTTCCATTCTGAAATCTAACTCATCAGAGTAACATGGTAATTAGCATGTTGTGTGTTGCACTTGTTGTTATCGATTCTAAAGCGTAAAAAGAAACTAGCAAAGATGAGTGGGGAAATAATCTGGTGTGTGCAACTGTTGAAAGGAACAGATGAGGGAAGAGACCCTCCTTAGTTTGCTTCATCCACCAGTATTTACCTTTAAGGCAGCACTTTAGCTCAAGCCAAACTGCATCTGATTAGCTGGAAAGCAAAAATGTAATACGTCAGATTTTAAATAAACATCCCCCCAAAAAAGATGGATAAAAGTGACTTGACCAGTCTGTTTATTGATGACTTTTCACACCATTTTTACATCCAAATTTTCACACCATCCAAATGTTTACAAGATATAAATGCCTTACTCACTTAGCCAAAATGGTTGCTAAAGAATGAAGTTCCTCATGTTATACAAGCAAACAAATTTTGACAAATCAGTGTCCTGTATTGTTATATAATTGTTGTTAGCATTTGTGGTGGCCTCTCGGACTAGCTTTTTTCTGTAACAGACAAATAGCCACGAGAACCCTTGAAACAATAATACATTAATCCAAGAAATCTTTTGGACAGTTTTACCACACTGGTGATTGGTATTGTTTACTTTACATGACACATACACAACTTGGGTTTTGTTATAACTATAATACAGAGAGCTGCAGTTTTCTTCCTCTGCAGAGAAAGTGAGTCTACTGAATTTGTCGACAATAAACTGACAAAACTTTACAGACTGATTACTTGATCTTGCTTGCTGTGCATGAAGAGCAATTCACAGTTACTTTAGAAATATTTGTACATCTTCACTTTTTGCATAGTTAAGATGGTGTAGAGCTGTGTATAAATCAGACTACGAGTATAACAGTGTCAGTGTTTCCTTGAGCACAGCAGTCCCAATCATTTCTAAAAGGAATATATATCAGGATATTTTTGACTGTTGTCTCTCATGCTAGCCTGATTAGCCAGTCGAGTAAACCTTGATCAAGGAGATACATTTAGCAATTCTATTGCAGCCATCTTGGCAGCACTCCATCAGTCACAGCATGTCCTAACTTTGTCAGTGTTTAATGTTAATTTGTGAATAAGAGTGGCAACTTTATTATAAGTGTTTCAAGAAGAAAAAACTATAAATGCTTATTTTAATCCACTGTATATACTCATATTTGACTTGGTTGTGCACTGCTGTTTGTAGAGATAATAGTTCTAATGAATCCCCTACATTTGTTTGTGTATGCAGCCCCAGTTACGGTGCAACATACCTTGATGCCGAGCTCCTCCAGCGGCAAAGCTACACTACGACACACCAGCTTCCCACATACACTACATCACATATTCCTGTTGCAACAGGTGAGTTATGGCGTTATAATGAAATATTGTTTTAAAGTGACCAGTTTTACCAGGTAATATGTATTCATGCAGAAATTTTTGGTTTAAGCACAGACGCATCTTTCTCTTCCTCTTTTGAATGTCAGGAGCACTAGAGTCAAACAGTAGTACTCCAGAGACCTCAATCATGAGCTTCCTTTCAGCCATGGAGTCGAGAAGCCTTCAGGCTGGTCCTGTTAGTGCCTCATTGCTTTCTCCTTATAGACCCCCATCATGGCCTGCTGGTGAGAACATATCAATCTTTCAATCTTAGTTATTTTATTTAAAGAAGAAATCATTAAGTATAGAGAGAATGTAATACGCCATACTCTGAAAACCATGTCCACGAGATGGGGAAAAATTTAGACCCTAAAGTGTGCAACCAAATGTTGGAACGGTGAAAAAACGACTCTTACTAGCTAAAAATATTTGGTTTCACTATGTGTAGGGATTGTTTTAGCAACCTTAGCTGTTAGAAACTGAACGTTGTCTATATTTGTAAGCTGCTGTAATCTGATAAGGCACATGCAAGTGCAGTAATATTACTCTTCGCTTTTAACTTATCCATGACAAAACGCATGCTGCATAGATAGCCATGCAGTGTCAGGATCTTTCCATTTTCCCATTACTCTTGCTCATAGTGCTTCAAGTCTTATTGACAGTATCCATTTTTGTCTTATAAAAAGCTCAGTTTCAAAGTTCTGTAGTTCTTCAGCTTATAAAAACTCAGTTCTGCATTCTTTACCCTGTTGGTAGTGCATGCTACACAGCAGCTTTTAGGTATTTTTCAGTTCAGTGCTAGCAGGTGGATCTCACAAGGAGGCCCTTTTTGTGCAATGTAAAGTCAATAGAAACAATTGCACAATTTTTTTTTCTCCAATTTGGGTGGGACCTAAATGCACTCTGTAAGCATGTGTCCATCAATTTGTCACTATTTCACAAATTGCTTAGAAGCGTAGGACACAACTTGACTTTGCACCACCATCAATTCTGCTGGCTACATTGTTACATGTATACAAGTACTACAGATAGGGTATTGTAATGCTCTCTGATCTTCTTTGGTAGACAAATTGATATATGTGATGACACACTTTATAAATTACCTTTAGCATCTTTTTTTGTGAATCAAGAAAAACTTGCATGGATACAAAATATTTGTCCAGCTCTGTTTCTCAATTCATCTCACTAATAGAGCAAACAATGTTTGTATGTATGTCTGTTCTTCACTTTTCTCCCGAGTGTATTGCTGAGGACCTGTGTAAGCGTTTGATGTTTATGGAAAGGTGATAACATTTTAATACCTTCTTCCTGTTGCAATTCAACCACTGGCCACCACAATATTACTGTTCTAGCACCCTGCCAGGTCTTTGTTAATATATGCTAGTAGAGACCTTGCACTGTGTACCTATGGTCCAAAGGCTGAGTATGATTAAAATGAAATATGTTGGGGGATGTTGGCATTTCAGATTTTGTATTACTTGTATTGTATTTGCACATGAATTTTGTTTATGATGAAAATATTGCTTGTGTAAGATGCTTGTACTTATGTTCTCTGTGTGTGTGTGGTTTCCATGCAGGTGCCAACTCCTCGACCACAGAACTATATTTGACTGGTGCCCTGCCTTCTACAGCTACTTTCCCCTCTACACCTGCGCTTTCATCCTGTCAGCACACAGGTGCCTATCCTACCAGGAGTTATGCCACCAACCCTTCCCTGACTCTCCAGGATCCTGCCTTTAGCACTTCTACCAATGGCTTGTTTTCTCACCATGATCCCCTCCTGCATCTTAAGTCTAACCAGACTGTGCTTCCCACTGCCTTGGCCTTCAATCATCTTTCTGCCTCTGCTCTGGGCTCACCGCTCCCTGTACAGTCCTCCACTTACCGCTCAGCCCAAGAGTCTGCACCCCACCTCCTGCAGCCCCAGTTTAGCCTCTTACCTTCTGCCCTATCTGCCACTCATGGTGCGAATCAGCCATTTGGGGCTACAGTTTTCTCAGGCTCTATTGAAAGAGCCCTTCAGCGTGAATGTAGTGTGATCAAACACCACCAGAGGCCTTCTAGTATCCATATAGCCTCAGAGCAGTTACCTAGTTCGGAGCAGTCCTTACAGGGATATTTCGGTTCAGGCAGCGAAGCAGATGTATCCTACCAGCAGGAACCATCCCATCAGCCCTCCGTGTCCTGCAACCCCTCCACAGGAGCAGATTCCTCTCAAGGAGTCAGTGGTTCCCTACAACCCAAAACAGATTGTACAACGCAAGTATATTCATCCACTTCGCTGCAGAAGACGAATGAATGTTCTTCCAAACTAGCTCCACAGCCTGCAGGAAATGAAGAGATGCACTCTCAGAACCTGTCAGCGGGGTCTCCTGAGCGTTATTCCTCCCCTGGACTGAAGCAAAACTCTGTGATTATTAACCAAGAGGCAGTCCAGCTGTCTAGCCTAATTTCCAACACTTTATCTCAAACTTATATCACACCTCATACACAGTCACAAGCCTCCGATTCCACTTCAGACAAACTCTCCTCCCTTTATGAGACTCTCCCTTCACTCTCCAGCCAGTCTGACAATGTGGCATCCATTAGTCAGTCTCTTGTTTACTCATCTACTCCTGGGCTGAACCAAGAGCAGGGCATCCAGTATGGAGCCCAAGTACAAAACTTGTGTCAAGGAAATCTGTCTGAGAGCTATCCCACATCCCACTCGCAGGGTGCCTCAAATGTGACTTATACTTCTCAATCACAGGTGCAGAATTCAGTGACCCAGTCTCAAAGCTTTATCACGGGAGAATCCCTTAACTCTTCTTTCCCACCCACATGTGTACAGAGCCTGCCCACAACATCTACAGTGGACTACACCCTCATGCAGGCCTCCGTGGGAGGCAAAACACACGACACTCTGTCCCACCAGCAGCACTCACAACCCAACACATATGTTTTGTCTGCACCTTTGCCTACCTACTCTTCAGCGGCTCAAGCCTTACAAAATAACATATCCTCAATACAGGACATAAAGCCAACATATGGCAAACAAAAACTTGAAGAGGTGCCTCTTCAAGGCCTCGAGGCTCTGCGGCAGGTCTCCGTGGAGGCCTCCATAACATGTAACAGTATAGTTTCCCATAACAATGTCATCTACGTTGTTTCAAAAATGGATGATCACCCTAAAGCACAGAGTGTTATTCGAAGCAGTTCACGTTCTGATGACCAGATTATGGGACTACGTCATGTAAATACAGTGCCGGTAAAGGATGAAAGAATGGGTTCTCTAAGCCAACAGCACATTCATTTAACTAGTGCCAATGGTCATGAAACTTCTAACACAAAAACTACAGACTCCACCATTGAATCCTCACATATACCCCTGTGCTCAGAGCCGCTCAAGCAGCATCCTCTCCAACTTGAATCTGCTGAGGCACAGCAACAGAATCAACAGAACCATAACCAGACTCAGGCTTTAGCAGCCCACACCCAGTTTATTGCTATTCCCAGTGCTCAGGTTCATCCTGAGACCAATCAAGTAATTTTGCTCCAGCAGCCACTTTTGAATAATAGTCAGAACACATCAAAGGTGATTCCAGTGCAAGCTATTCAATCGGGACAAGGCCTTGGCCCTGTTCATGTCCAGTATCTTCAGATGGACCGAGACCTGCTGGGTCCAAGTGTTACAGAAACCCAGAGTCAGCAGGGCACAGTAGTGTCTGAACCAAGCTCAGAATGTCCTACGTCTAAACATCACTACAGCCAGTTGACAAATCAGCAGTCAAGCGATGCCAAAAACCACTTTGCTGTCAACTCTATTTGTTTCTCTGACTCTATTCTACTTCCAGATGACAGGAATATTTTGTCAAATGTTGATGACATCCTCGCTGCCACAGTAGCTGCCTGTGGCGTGTCACCACAGGACTTTGTCAAAGCTACATCCTCTGCTGAGGCTGATATGGCAGTGATGGCAAGTCCTATTGATTCCAAAGGTCACTTCCAAACTGTTGATTTAAGACACATGTCACCTAGTTTCTCTTCAGCACAACAGCCAATTATCACTAACACTATCTCCCAAACCATCACCATGACATTAAACGGACCACAGATGACAACAGACTGTCAGGGTGGATCTGGTACCCACAACAACAATAATGAGCTTCATGCAAATGGAGACACAAGGTGCTCTGACAATAACTATCACTCAGCTGGGCAGGTATATGACTCCTCAGGTCCCCAGAATAGAATTCAAGGGAATGCAAAGTGTATTAAAACTGATGATGGACTCATGGAAAGTCCAAATGGTGAGGACTTCACCAAAAAGAAGGCTCGCTCTAAGTCATTGACTAAAACAGGCAGTCATGAAGAGGATGGTGGACTGGCCAGACCAGCCAAACGTAGTGGGCAGACCAAGCGGCAAAACTCGAGGGGTAGTGATGTGAGCTCACCATCTGCGGCACACGGTTTATATGATGGTTGTCCACAGCAGGAAAGAATCAGGCAAAAGATTCGTGAAGTGGAAGAGAAACAACCAGAAGTCAAAACTGGCTTTATTGGCTCCTTCCTAGACTTTATCAAGTCTGGGCCCAAACAGCAATATTCTCCAAGTCCAACACGAACAATTAATCGCCCTAGAAAGGCTTGTACCTCATCCAAACAGTGTACTATGCCAGCTTTGCCCCCAAAACTGCCAACTTTGCCCACGCCCTTAATTCCCCAGGACAGTCCAGCAGTAAACTCCCAGCAGAAACGTCTTGATGAAGATCTACAGAAGAACTTGGAGACCCTGCCATCATTCAGCTCTGATGAAGAAGAGAACACTGGAAAGAACCAGGCTCTGAGGAACAGCATCAGCTCGGCTCTCTCAGCTCTGGATGAATCTTCAGATCGGAAAACTAGGACAGGTAATCACACTCTGTAGCATATGGTACATGCTCAGTAAATAAGTATCGACACAAGAACCGTGCCCAAAAATGCCAGGGTATTGATGCTAATGAAGCGATAGTAAAGAAAAAAACAACCAAATTAAACTGATGTTTAAAACCAGCAACTAGGTTAGTTGGATCCCATTTGTATTTATTCCTGTATATTGTTATAGAAACCTGTAAAACATTGACTTTCTGTAACAGTGTGTATCTCATGCTCGAGACAGAAATATTGTTTGCCTAAATACAAAACAGTGAACATTGAACTTTCATTTTCCTTTTTCTGTCTGTGGCTGTGAATTTGTGCTTCTTCAGATAATCAGTTTCAAGGTTTGATGTTGAAGCCAGAAGAGGTTCCCAGCATGCCCCACGCTGTCACAGATAGTGCGCCTCCCGTGACATCCTGTGTGCTGCAGGTACCCACTCCTGCACAGACAACAAACGCAGCCTCAGGAAAGACTGTTTTTGCAGCAACAGAGGAGTCCAAAGAGACACCACCTGGCCAGTTGGCTATGCCTTTAAAGAGTGTAGCCATGGCAGGACTCACTGATGAGGAGCTGTCGGACAGCGGAGGAGAAGGAATGTATCGTGAGAGAGACGAGTTTGTTGTCAGGAATGAGGATATCGAAAACCTAAAGGTACGGGAAGTGAAATGAATGCTTGTAACACTTGATATGGGCAAAATTGAAAGTGTAGCACAGGTCAGAATGTTTATAATATAACACTAGCATTTCAAAAGTAAGCCTTGATGCAATGCAGTGTAACTTAATTTAATTCCTCTTCAATTGTAAGTGATAGACTAAAAGAAACTGCTTCCACATACTGAAGCCTATTCTGCATTGTGCTGTGTTTCTCTGTGCAGGTGACAATGAAAGCAGGCAGTGAGCCTCCAGCCATCTGGAAAGTACAGAAGGCTCTGCTGCAGAAATTTGTGCCTGAGCTGAGGGATGGAAAGAGAGTCTTCTCAGCTACAAACAGTGTAAGTAGACTATGCATATATAGTTTGATTATACAAATTAGTTTTGTCAACTAACACTTTCTTCTTCTCTATTTAGTATCTTGGGTACTTTGGTGATGCCAAGACAATGTACCAGAGGGTGTATGTGAAATTTTTGGATACAGTTAACAAAAGGGAATATGTACGAGTTTGTAGTCAGAAGCCACGCTGCAAACCCATGAACTCACTAAGGTAAGTGTAGACTATTGGCTCCTATAATTCACAATAGATTTTTCTGAGTTATCTCAGCTTTTTTGTTTTGTCACACAGGGGTTTTCAGGTGAAAACTTTGCTGGGCTTGACAGCCACTCCTACAGTTTTCCAAAACCAAAAGCCCAGACCCAAACAACTTAAGCCAAGAGCAGAGCCTCCACCAAAAAAGAGGAGGAAATGGAAGGAGGAGTTTTCACCTACTGCCTCTGGATCATCTGCAGAAGAAGGAGGCGAAGAGGATGGTAAAGAACACTTTTAAGTTTTTAAGGAAATCTAGTTTGTTGTCTAGATTTTGTCACACTCTCACTGCCCTTCGATGCCTCCTGTGTGTTTTATCTCTCTCCCGTGCACACTCAGAGTTAAACCCTCCGCTACCGTTTGCTTCCCGATTACTCAACACACGAACCATGAAAGAGACATTCAGGAGCTTTGTGGAACTGCTTATCAGTATTGCCTTAGATGAAGATGTAATGACAGCACTTGAAAGGGCAAATGGTGAGCAAGATACTTTTTGGACACAGAGGAATTGTTCTTAGTTAGATTGGCTTAACAGTTTAGGATCCCTCACATCATTGCTTGCTGACTTGTCTTTTGTCTCATCCATTTCAGATGAATTGCTGCTGCCACATATGAAAAGAGTGGATGGAATGATCACTGACAACAGAAAACGTTTACTTCACAAACTACACATAGAGCAGGTGTTGAAGGTGAGTGTGGAAATGAAGCTGCACATAAATGTAGATTTGTGTTGTCTTGATGCATGCGCAAGGTAAGGAAATCCCCCAAAATATCCAGAAGAACAGAACTCAAGGGAGGAACCGGTGTTGTATCTGCACATAACAGACAACTTAGCAAAGAACTAGTTTTAATTTGTGTCTTCAGGCACCCTGGTACTGGCTGACTATCCCAAAAAAGATACATGTATCCAAATTCGTTAGTTGAAGCTATGAAAAATGCCTCAGATTGTGCAGTTTGACAAGTCTAGAAGGTGATTCCTGAACAGCTGCTGGCTGAAAAATTGGCATTTCTTAGAATACGGTATAATTGACATTAAAAGAAATTAGAAGAAAGTGGACCAGTAAAACTCATGTCCTTAAGAAAAGGAAAAACAAATCCAGCAAAGTCCTGACACAGAAGAGATACATCTGACTCATCAAAACAACAGTTTAACAGTGTCTGTAGTAAGGGTGTCAAATATAAGGCCCGGGCGCCAAATTTGGGCCTGCAAAGATCCAAATTCAGCCAGTTGGTTGACTTTGGAAAATGTGAATAAGTGCATAATTTTTTGTCATTTTACAGCTTTTCTTACCCATAAAGCTTCCCTTCATGGCCATTCACAGTACACCAAAGTAATTAAATTTTAGAATTCTGTCATTTCCCACATTACTTCTTACAATCTAAGCTGAGTCATGCTGTCAGATTTCTTTCATTTACTACAGTAGCATTTCTTTACCATGTAGGGAAAACTGAGACATCATGTTGAAATTGCACTTTTTTGTCTTATATTAAGACATCTCATTGATTAAATGCATATTTAAACTTTTTACATTGACAGAAATTGGAATTTCACCAGTCTGGCCCACATAAGATCTAAAGTGGGCTGTTTGTGGCCTGCAATATAAAATGAGTTTGACCTCCCAGGTCAACAGCCATCTATAAAACATGGTGGAGGCACTGTCATGATTTCGGACAGCATTTTAGCAAGTGGTCGTGGTGATCTTTTAAAGGTTTTTGGAATTATGAACACAGAAAAGTAGCATTAGTTTTTGATCCACCGTATAATTGTATGATGTGTAACATCTTCATGTTTTCAGTATGACAATGATCCCAGTCAGTCATCAGTTGGTAGCCAATGAGAATGTTGACTCATTAGTTTCACTGTCGGAAACCCTCCTCTGGCTTCACTTCTGGTTTCGCATGAGTAAGATAGTAATGGCAAAATGCAAATGTTTTACTTCAAAAGTTTTGAATATGCGTTCTAGATTGACTTTCATTGCAAAAGGAAAATAAGCATTAAAGGATCTTTACTGCACTGTGTGAACCTAAGTAACTTGTGTTCTTTAGACAGCACTAGACAGCTTCCCAGAGATCTCAGTGGTGACTGAACTGAAGAAGGATGGGGAAACGCCAGCCTTCAAAGTACGTCTCAGTGGACGTGCCTACAACAAGAAGACTATGAAACCCCAGAAGAGCCCCAACACTATGCCTCAGGTAATTGTACTTCTAATGTCTGTCCATAAGAGGGCGCAGGTTCACCGTTTGTTAATCTTTAGCTTTGCTGAGCACTGAAGCGACTACCTCCTGCTCTCATGCTGTTTGACTAATATAAAAAAATGAAATATACTAATTATTCACATTTTTTAAATTATGTTTCCCTCTTTTAGGAGTATACAGTAGACCAGCAGAAAACTCAGTGGTTTTCTCTATACCATTCTTTGCAGCATTACAAGTACCACACATACCTCATGTGTAAGGATGAGGTAAGACAATGTGTCTAGTTTCTACTGAATGCGTAAAGCTGTTTTGTTTAGTTTTAGATTTTATTGTGAGTTCTGTAAATATTATTTTGCAGATTTAACGTCACTTGCATACTTCCACATGGAATTTATTTGAATTAATTGTATTTTATGCTCTGTTTGTGGTGTTGTCCTTCAGATTGCATCTCTGCGGGTGCAGGCAGGGGACCTGGGGCAGGAGGAGACTGTGCAGAAGTGTCTGCAAAACGGGGCTTGGGTAGAGGGGCTCTTTGATCGCTTTGGAGAGCTAATCAATCAAGTGCAGCAGGCCTGCAGATGAAAGCCTTTAACATGCTTGGTTTAAAAAAAAAAAAAAAAAAAAGTCACATTTTTTGAAAACCAGAAAATGCCTCCAGCTCAAAATGTGACCGAGAAGGATGGAGTGAGTCTCTTCTTCAAGCGCAGGGTGTTTCGGATCAACTGATTTGCCTGTTAAAGACTGTTGGGAGACTGTGGAGTAAAAATGGCAGGAGTGCAACAGTGAGACATACACTGTTTATCACTGCATCCCAGCAGAAACCTGGAACTTCATCAACAGAGGACAAGAACTTTGTTCTTGGGAGCATTTTGGAAGGCTCCCACCTAGTACTTATTCTAGTCTTTGTAGGTTTTTATAGTTAAAAGCCCACTTTTATGGGCTTTTCCATAGATTTATATTCTTTTTCATTCGTTTTTCTTTTTTAAGTTAAATGCCAGATCATGACCAGATTGTATGCACAATATAGAAGGCAATCAGCACAGGAAGTAGAACACAGCAAATACACAAGCAGAGCAAGCCTTTGTCAATCTTTTAAGTAAGCTCACATGCAAAGTTGATCTGTTGTTTTGTTTAAAAAAAGAACTATACATTATATATAACTATAGTTATATACTGTTTGCAAAACATCACATTTGTAATACGGTGCCAGCTTATATATATGTATAATGTACATTTTGTAAAAAAGAAAAAGAAAAAAGGAGAAAAAAAATAGCAGGACGTTGGAACAGCAGCAAATCTCTCTTTAGCAGCTACATAGTGCGTCTATACTATAGTTTAACATTTGTGTTTCAAGCCAACCATTTGCTTATAGGAAACATCTTTGATTGGAATCAATGCAGTTCCAGTACTGCTTTTTATTAATCTTTTTATTAATCTCAGACATTGTTACCTTGGCTTATCTATGGGTAAATGAATGCAAATGAATTGCTTTACAGACATAGCCTACATTTTATGATAAAGGTATATATTTTCACAGAAGAAAATGGTTATTTCTAAGACACGTTTTGATTATCTTTTCACAGTTTTTCCAGAATTTACTCTAAGTCATTTATTTTATTCTGTCAAAAATAATCTTGTTCTTAAAAGATGCAGTTTGTAAATAAAACACTGCATGTATTAGGTATGTGTTTTTCTAGGATATTTTTTTGCCAGGAACTCCGTGAGATTTTTTTCTGGAATCCCATTTTTCAGAGCAATTATTTCTAACAACAAAAAAAATGCATTCTGCTATTCAGAGCCATAAAAGGATAGCAAAAATGACCTATCATAAAGTGTGAACAAACCAAACTATTAAACCAGGGTGTGAGGGTGCATATATAAACACTGCCTTTATTATGGAATCTGGATTTTCTTGGGTGAATAGCTTCTGACACTGATTACAATCTGAATCAATGAATTTTCATAGAATTCCTACAGACACGTCACATAATGCCACCATTGCATTTGGTCATAGTTTGGGAAGATTGCAGCAGTACTAACTAGTCATGTGACACCTTTTATCTGTTTTTGCACAATCACCAAACCACATGGGGACTTTTCTGCAGTGTTGCCGTAATATTATAGAATAACCAAATACGATTTTTTTCTTTTTTGACTAATGTTTGATCAAAGTCGATATAAGGAGATTGTGTTTCATTATCAACTGTAACCTTTTTAGAACATAGATGTACTGTTTTCAGTTTTATTTGTAACTTTGCTATAACAAGGGCCAAGTGCTACATTTAACATATTTGAAATGTTAATTAGACAGAAGAGCCCAGCAGAAAAAGTTACAACAGTCTTGCTGCAACCAAATAGCCTGTATGGATTTTTCAGCGTAGCCAGTCACAGTTTGCTTCTCAGCTTCCTGAGGGGTCTGGTTATGTTAGATTTCTTTTGCTTGTTGGAAGTGTGCTGTTAATATTGGCTCACATCTTCCATGAGGACACAACGAAGTGAGAAACTTGCCATGTTGCTTGCCCACAGTGCTCTCATGACCCGAACCTTTCACATATTTATGGGTGGCTGACTTTGTGTCGTCTGAAAGAGTCTCTGGGCTGTTGAATAAAATATGACTGTCCAGCCAGACCAGTCACAATGCAAAAAAAAAATGACTGGCAATCCCCAAAAAACAAAAGTGTCTCTGTACTTCACTGACTGCACTGTGAGGAAAGCCACTGTCCTCTGTCCTTAGAGTTGGAGAGGCTCGGGGGTGGAGGACAACCAGTCAGGCAAGCGTTTGGGATTCCATTACGGGCACAACGGGTAGGGAGAGATACTGAGCGTCTGCTCTCCAGATGAAAAGCATATGAATTTTAATGCACTGCATTGTTCCATATGTGGGAGACAGACTGGAGGCACCCCCGAGGCAGCATGAGAATGTGAGAAGGGCACAGAAACGAGATGGCTGTGTGCTGCGTAAGGCTGCATATCACTGACAGTCTTGAGGTTAGAAATAAATGTCTCTTCGTGAAACCTGATGCACTGAGTGTCGATGATCATCTAGTTTAAAATCAGACCTGTCGTGTGCACACGTGCAGGGTGAAAAGTAGTTATCTGTGGCAAGTAGAGTTACCAATTTGTATTTGCTGCAGCTGGAGTCTTCTACTGACAAAATCAAGATCTGTATTTGGGCGTTCATTAGCAATTAGCAAAAAACCAACTACGTTTTTATTTACGGTCAGTTTTGAAATATTTGTTCTTTACTTAAGGTTTTCCACTTTTGTTGCTGTAGTTTATGCTGGGTTTTGCTCGACTGCAGCACTTCAAAAGTTGTCTAACACTTACATACCATTGTGATATGTTTACATACATTCACAGGCATTAATACTATGGTAATTTGAGGCTTTTAATCATTTTTGAACTGTTCTTTTTCTAGAGTGGAATGATTGTACAGCCTACATTTTTAATAAGTTTGAATTAATTTAGGATTTTCTCTAATCCACACAGGGTCAAAAGTAAAGATACAGGCTCAAATAAATACATACAAGCCCAATGATATTTAGTTAAATACCACTTAGAAAGTTGCACCTCGCCTAGACCTTCCAAGGTGTTTTACAGGTTGTCATCAACAAGCTTTTGGCGTAATTCTGCCTCGATAATCTGACCAGAGTTCATTTTTATTGGTCGGTGTCCCGGCACAGACGTGGCTTTAAAGCATAGTCCATAAATTTTCAATAGAGTTAAGGCCAGGGCTTTGAGAAGGCCATTCCAGAAGCTCAATGTTAGCCTGCTCTATAAACCAGTTTTGATGTCTAAGTTCCAACCATCTTGCCGTTGACTTGAGGTGAATTTCAAGACTTTTGGAGTAGTTCTTCATTATTCTTTATTGTACCAGTGCCAATTGTAGCAAAACAGCTCCAGACCATGGTGCTACCACCACCATGCTTGATCAATGGTGCAGTGTTCTTAGGTTTGAAAGCTTAACGTTTCCTCCTCCAAACATACTTCTTGTCATTGTGACCTAAAGGCTTAATCTTTGTCTCAACTGACCATAAAATGTTTCTTCATAAGGCATTTAACTTGTCCACGTGGATGGCTGTAAATTTCATCTTGAAATCTGCAGTTGTTTAGTCACTAAGAGACCTTCCCAACTTGTGTAAATCTAATATTCTCCTCTTATAGAATACAGTTCATGGTTAAATATTAATCCAGCACTATCTTCGTCTCTGGCTTCTTCTCCGTCAGTGTTAACTTTATTAGTGCAGTATTATTCCGTGCTGAGAGACTTTACTTTTTATATGCAGTTGTATAAAAAAAATCTAGGTACACCCTTACTGCTTCCAGAGGATAAGTAGCAGCCAGGTGCTGCTAATCAAACAAACTTGACTAACTGACCATCAGTAAGTGTGGCCACCTCTATAAAAGCAGACTTTTTGGCAGTTTGTTGTTCTGGAGCAAGTTTGGCTTGTTTGGAAGAGTTGCCAGGAGAAAGCCCCTTTTTGTTTAAAAAGTATGTGGCCACACAGCTTAGGTTTGCAAGTTATATCTGAACAAACCACAGGAGCTCTGTCATGCTGTTCTTTGAACAGATGAGACAAAGTGGAGATGTTTGGTGAAAATGTCCAGTGCCACGCCCGGTGAAGACCAAACATGGCATACCAACACAAATACAAAGTGCTGTAGAGTCGAATGTGAACACATCTGTCCCAGAACTAAAGTTTGCTGAAACTGGGTCATGCAACAGGACAATGATCCCAAGCACAGCAGCAAATCTACAACACAGTGGCTGAAAATTTAAAGAATCAAGCAGCTGCAATGGTCTGGTCAAAGAAAAGACATCAAACTGATTCAAAGGCTGTGATGGGATCTTGAGGAAGCTGTGAATAAACAAACCTCAATGAACTGAAGGAACATTGTAAAGAAGAGTGGGGTCAAATTACTCCAGAGATGAGGCACTGATAAAATTGTACAGAAAACAATTCAAGTTATTTCTGCTGAATGTGGTTCAGCAAGCTACTGAATCGTGGGCTGTACTTAGTTTTTCACAGAACTGTAGTCTTCTTATTTGAATTAATTTTCTTGGAGAAAATTCCTAGGGGATATTTTTGTTATCATCTTACCTGCATGACCGATAAGTGTGAAGGTGAAGGAGAGGGAAATATACAGGAGCTTCCAGGTAATTGGCGAATAACAGAAATGTAAATATTGCTTTGACCTTGCGGGTTAGAATTACTAATGGTGCTAACAAGGGTGCTTTCTCTGTGTCCGTCAGCCATCAGTGCTGGCATAAAACAGGTTTTTACTGTTCAGCGCACTCTCAGCACTCTTGTAAACTGTCGTCAGTTTACAAAATACCAGCATATTTGACCGCTGTGCATGGGTGAAACCAGTTTCACCTGAATGAAAGTATATGTGCTCTTCATATGTAGATGTGTGATCACTGCATAAATCCACAATGGGAGACATGCTTTGCTAACACACATAATGCTCGATATTATACATTCCAAACCCGAGGTACAACAAGTGTTACCAACCAGTTTGGCACTACAGGCATCCCTGGTTTTGTTTTCTTATGAGCCAAGAATGTGAGGCAGGTATTTCGAGACTAAGCGTCATGGGTATTTTGTCACAAAGACACAAGACACGCACAAAAAATCCCAGATATAACAAAAGCTGAGGCAGAGACTCAGTTGTAAATTAGAAAAACTGGCCTTGCTCAGAAGCAGCTCAGGTGGATGCATGAATAGGGGGTTCAAACCACATCTGTCTATCTGCGCTTGATTAGAAGAAATGAAGGATCTATTGTGGGCACAGACTGGTCTCTGCTCATACCTGCTGATGAGTAGTAGCGTATTTCAAAATAAAAGATACGTAGAGCCCAGAGGACACTGATCAAACCGGTTTGCCTCGGTTGCATACCTCACTTGTTGCACCATACTTGTCTCTTGTGATGATAATAATAGCTCTCTGCCTTTCAGTCTCCTTTCCTGCAAGTGATCGACATCTTGTCTAGAAAAGAACAAAGGCATCAGTTTAGAGTGTAGATTCTGAGTTCACAAAAATCTCTTCCTGCTACAGCTCATATGTGTTTGCTCTTGGGTGTGTAAGTATTTGTTTTTGAGATATTTAAGCTCAGTATATTCAACAGTACGGTGTTCACATGACCCCAAACGAGGTGGAATAGGCCAGGTTTGCTTTTGACACTTGAGGTCCCTACAGTCCAACTTGTGGTGTCTACTGTTTTAGCAGTACATGGGAAAGGTTTCTCTCTCTCTCTCTCTCTCTCTCTCTCTCTCTCCCAAAATGTCCTTATTCTTAAATTAGAACTTTATCCTGAAAAAATGTTTAATATCTTCCCATCTTCCTGGGAACAGCTATATCTGCAGGTCTTTATCAGGCCAGATTTACTTCCACTGTAAGCTTTTAGGGTGTGACCTAGTAAGTAAAAGGTTATGTGAAAGCTTCCTAGATGCTGGAGCATTACTTGAAAATGAAAGGCATTTACTGTAACTCCAGATTGCACCAGTCAGGGAGGTTTTTTTATAAGCACCTTTGCAGATCACACTGCATCCTATTATAATGACCAAATCTATGATAAAATAATTAAAGCTAACGCCGATAGTGAAACCTTGTTTGATTGTAACAGTGGTAGTAATCGCTCGCCTTCCATTTATTTAGTTTCAGTTGGTGGAGATAAGCGTA